CTCTCTCTCTCTCTCTCTCTCTCTTTCTTTCTTTCTTTCTTTCTCTTTCTCTCTTTCTTTCTCTTTCTCTCTCTTTCTCTCTCTTATCTCTCATATTAATTATGGTTTTGCGTACTTTTCAAATGAACAATTTTATTTCAGTATTCCGGACTATAGTATCGTTAATCGTAATGGCGAGCGTTATATCGTTTTCAATATACATATGGCCGGTCGTCAGTTATGTTCGCGTCGCTATCGTGAATTTGCTAATTTACATTCAATGCTGCGCAAAGAGTTTACCGGTTTTAATTTTCCCAAACTGCCTGGCAAATGGCCATTTCAGTTGAGTGAACAGCAATTGGATACACGTCGTCGCGGTTTAGAACAATATTTAGAAAAAGTGTGCGCGGTACGTGTTATAGCGGAAAGTGACGCTGTACAAGATTTTCTTACCGATTCCGAAGATGATATATCCGCATCGCCCGTTGATATTAAGGTAATGCTGCCTGATCATGAAGTCACTACCGTATCGGTTAAAAAATCTGCCAATGCTCAAGTTGTATGGGAACTGCTGGTGCAACGTGCCAATTTTACCTCCTATACGCAACAGTATTTCTATCTTTTCGAAATTGTTGAATACAATTTTGAACGTAAACTGCAGCCACATGAAATCCCACATCAATTGTATGTGCAAAATTATAGCACAGCCTCGAGTACTTGTTTATGCGTTAGACGTTGGCTATTCTCGGTAACGAAAGAGTTGACTTTGCCTCAGGGCGAACAGGCGGCACGTTTCATTTTCTACCAGGCGGTAGACGAAGTGAATCGTGGCAATATACGTGCCGAAGGTCGTTTATATGAGTTAAAGGCGCTGCAAGATGCTAAAAAAGCGTCAGAATATTTAGCTTTGGCTCGTACGCTACCCGGTTACGGAGATGTTGTGTTTCCCCATTGCGCTTGCGATAGCCGCAAGGAAGGTCATGTCGTACCGGCTGTAGGTGAGTCAAGTATTTGCCTTACCAATTGTTTCAATTAAATATAAATGCACTTTTGTGTACGATATAAAATGTAGGCATGAAAAGTTTCCGCTTACACGCTTGTCGTGAGGACGGCTCCTTAGAAGCTCAAATGGTCGAGCTGACTTGGGAAAGTATTACACGCTGGGAAAGCGACGAAGAATCAATGGCATTCTGTTTTCAATACAATCGCCCCGATAAACCAGCGCGTTGGGTCAAAGTATATACACCCTATGTAAGTACATTTTTTACAAAAAAAAAAAAAAAAAAAAACCCAAATAAAAAAAATAAAAAAAAAAATAAATTAACTTACGCGCCTCATATAATCCTACACAGCATTCATATCTAGCTGACTGTTTTGATCGAATAATAGAAGAACGTAAATGGGAAGATACTGGTGATTAACAATTGCAACGCTATTAAGTTATTCGCTTAAGTTTAAAAACAAAGAAAAAAAAAAAAAGAAAAACAAAACAAAACAAAACAAAAATCTTTATTTTCTAAGACAAAAAAGAAAAACGGATCAATTGAAATAACAAGGAGAAGAAGCGTAATTCCACAAAACGAAATTTTACTTGGAATGTAAAACATTTTTGTAAAAATTATCTCAAAGAAAATTGTATTCACTTCCAAAAAATCAACAAACGTTTATATTGCCCCATATATATTTATTTACGTATATCTTGTATATTCATTACACATACATACACACACACACACACACACACACACACTATGATTTATTATATTTTCATAATTTATTAAATTTTATCTTTGCAAGCATAAGAAAAAACAAAACAAAAAAAAAAACGAAAATGAATCAAAATTTATTTCATTAAATATTTAAGTTTAATTATATGTAGTACTTATTATTCGGTCTTGACAGAAACTCATCTCTCATCTATATTTAGCTGCTTCAATACGTCCAACGTTAAAGTAGTATTTATTTATAATAAGACGAATAGAAGCGATTTTACATAAGAGAAGGATACAGTTTGAAATATTAACACTTTTAAAATATCTAAACTCTGATCTTGTAAGGCGATAATTAATATAATTTATTAATGTTTTTTATAATGCAGATATCAAAAATATCGAGAAAGTTCTCTTGAAATTATAATTGAAAGCATTTTTATTGTGCCTCCTTTTTACACCCGTCACTGAAGAACTACATAGCTACTAACTATATGATTCCGTTTATATATATGCCGATGTAATTATTAATAATTCTATTTTCGTGACCACCGTGAAGTAGTTCCGCGTCCAATTTATTTATATATTTTGGTAATTGAGTCTACATTAACTCTTTCTACGAACCTCAATATTTTGAATTTATATATCAATTACTTATGAATATATGTCAATATATATATATATATGATGAAGTTGATGGACTCCCAACTATCAAAATATATATGTACTTTCGGATTTGATGGAATCATAAACACCGCTCGAATAAGTTAAATCTTTTAATACATTTTCTATCAATAGTACACGGCATTGTTTCGAAATGGTCCCGGATGGGCCTGCCCACATATGTTCATAACATGGCGGCTTTGTAGATTGTATTTTAACTATATTTCCTTAACAAATTTCGTATCGTATCTGTTTCGAAAGTCGTGGATGAATGTTTTCACTTTTCCCAATGTTTTTCTTTCGGTCTATTAAAATTGGCTAAATGGAGCATAAAGCATAAAATTGATGTAAAGTAGTGAACGAAAGTCCATCTACCGACATCGACATATAGTGTTATATCTAATATAGTGAGCAAGAATATCAATCTTAATTTGAACCCTACCTACTGACACCGTCATGTAGATTATCAAATACTTCAATAGAGGTAGGTTTCGCCATTAATATATCAAGCACTGTCGAAGCTATATATTGGAGGTTTTTTTTAATGATACGCCTCGAATTATGTGCAAAACGTATTGTTTTAAGTTCAATATAATCTTTTCTTTAGATTTCGTTGCCCTTTTGAAATCTGCTTCACACCATCGTAATCCTATAATAATACTAATAGTTTTTGACGCTCCCGTTGTATTTTTAAAGTTGTAAACTTAAAAATTGTAAAATAATTTCTTAATAGTAATATCATTTTTTTGGTGTCTTCTCAATCCCTTTGCAAAGAAAATGTGTCAATTTTTCCCTTCTTCTTTCATATTTAAAACCTAAATTATAGATCGCGAATCGTGCCCCTCTTCCATACCAAATAAGATATGCCTGAAGATGAATTGTTGAATAAACAGGAAGAAAGGTTTGAAATATGCATGATTTAAATTTCCTAAACGAAAGCATCCATAAAATGATAAATAATATTAACTAAATAAAAAAGCATATAAAAAAAAAAAATTTAATAAAATTTATTGCTCTAAGTGATTGCTAAAAACACAAAATAAAATAAAATAAAATGAATTTAAAAATTAAATACTAAAATTCAAGCACTTTAAAACAATATCAATATAAATTAAAACGTATTTGCAAAATTTACACATAAGCACTTGCATACATGATGATAACTTTAATAATACTAATTTTAGCCATTTTCTTTTAATTGTTATTGTAAATTATTTCATATTTCCAAAAAGAGAAAAACACAAAAGAAAACCAATTTTATTTATATATATATATATATATATATATATATATATATATAATAATTATAAGGCTCTAAGAAGGCCAAAAGTGTAGCAGATAATATTTCTTTATTTCATAATATCTATAAATATTATTAAAATGTAACTCCATTCAGAACACAGAGCATCTATTAAAAATGTAAGCAGGCAGGGTTTTTTTACTTGCGATACATGTTGATGCAGGGCGAAAGAATTTTAAAGGTACTCGACCTTCATAAAGTTTTTTTTATTTTTTTTTCAAAATATTTTTTGATATATATTTGCTTTATTTTTTTTTTTTAATTTCACTTCGCAGTAATGAGTTTTACTGTAATAGACTTCGCACGTACTACAAGTGAGATTCTGAGTCAATAAGTGGCGCGTTATTTATTTAATTTTACAATTTTGAAAATCGCAAAAAAATCTTAAGAAAACTCATTTTACCAATACGTTCTTGAATCTTACAGGTCCACAAATTTGAAGTGGCTGTTAAAAGCCTAAAAAGAGCTCGTAATCGCTGACAAACGAAAACGCTCAGTTCATTTTCATATTTATTATGAAATTATAGTAAATATTGCTTTAAAATAGACAATACATATATATACATATATATATATATACGTACATACATACATTTTAAATCAAAGTTCTCAATCACGAAAACGAAAAAGAAGAAAAAACACAAGAATTTTCTTATGCTGCCCAGAGACGCACTAACAGGTGGGCGGGAATCGTTTTGATACGATCAAGTAGAGTTTTTGTTTATAATTTCTAAAAATTTCGACGATTCATAAATAGCTTCTACGAACTTTATGCCAGAATGTCGGTATGTCCAAGATTTTTCTTTAACCAAACGAAAGGCTCCATTCGCAAATAAATTTGGTGTTC